GTAATTTTCCCCTCCGACGAATTGCACCGGCTGCGGCTGTGCCCTTGTATCGCTTTCGGAAATTTGCAGATAGAATTTTTTTTCTCTTTTCACCGTATCGCGTTCACCCGCTGCATCTATATATTCTCTGTCAGTTCTAAATTCTGCACATCGTTACATCTCTCTAAGATATACTCTAATTACCTGAATCTTTGCGGCAAAACTTTAACTTCGAACAGACAGTCTGCCTACGCAAACAGAGCCGTGTTTCGGATGTTCTTCAGTAAGACCGAAGCTCTTTGCACGTTCGTGTCGCCGCGATTCGCGGTGAGCTGTGCGACTTACGCATTTTTGCGCGCTTTTTTCTTAGCCGACTCTCTCACACACACACACACACCCCACTGATCGTCTCATTTTGATCTCGCACAGCGACAGCTCGTCCAATCAAACTTTGAAGCGTTCGAGTATCGCAGAGTCCGAGAATCCCTGATCTATCGAAGTAGCCACGTACACACGCGGCCACGTAAATACGCTCGCATGCTTGTCCGCGACAGTAACGTTCCGTTAACCCATTAAATGCCGAAGTTGCAACTCTGTCGTCCTGTGCGCTTTCGATTTAGAACGTGGAAAGCACAATTCGTCGCGACGCGTCCCCACCCTCTCGTCTGTCTTTCTCTCGCGACGCAATTAATTCTCCGGATGACAATTAATGGGTTAAGTGTGGCTTTCTGGACGCGATGACGGCTCCTCGTGCTACGACCAACAACTATGATTACTTATAATACCTACGTGTAAATACTCAGGTGCGCAGGTGCGATGTCACTCTCGAAAACGAAACGAAATGCAGACGCACGCATGCAAGCGCACACGCCGTTGCGCACGTACATGCGTGCGTCTTACTCGGTTATTGTACTACTTGTTGCATAATACTTGAATGCGCTCGCTAAAATAAGGTATCCCCGCTTGCGAAATCGCTCCCATGTATGCAGATTACTTATTTAATAACAACAACAACGGTACGCGTCCGCGCGTGACGCTTTATATTCAGATCTGTCTTTGGGTACATTTGACGCAGTCCGCGAATGCTCGAAACCAGCGTTTCTCTGAACCTCTGAACCTTCTCTGAACGACAATCACGTTGAACGTGAGGAATTATTGTGCAATACGCGTGTGTATGCACAGAATGTCTCACTCATATGCAGCATTTCCGCAGATTTTCGACTCCGATTAAGCTCCATACGCTACTAATGCGTTATTAAAGTATTGTACTATGGTCTTTGGACACCCTGTATGTGTGTATACATCGTATAAAAACAATAACTAAATAAGGACATCTCTGAATGTCCATTACGATCTTCGAGACCGTAAGAATATTTTCGTATATATAAAAAAAAAAATGTGTAACTTCCCAAAACTCAATTTTCGATCATTTTAAGCAAAATATAAACGAAATATGCGATCATTATAATAAACAAAAAATTAATTACTTAATTCACATTGATTTTCCATTGCTATCTTCGTTATAAACTCAAATTTCTTTTTCTCTTTGATGCAAGGAAAATGTGTCTGCGCGACTTCTCGCCATTGGGAAACGCTGCTTTCGCGCTCTTGTACAGAGACAATGTTTACACGAAGCCGGTAACAAAAGTAACAGCTACTATACTGATGCACCGCATCGTTAAATATACTCTTGTCTATGGTAAACATCTGGAGAAGTTAATATGCGTAAAATGTAAAACCAGGTATTCGTGTGTAAGGCACTGTCTATGCGCTGTCTTGACAGCCTGAAGCTAAGGCCCGATATACACCTGAAAGCCTCGTTATCTAGGAGACAGTTACCTCGCGGTTATTACAGAGGGAAGTTCCTAAGAAAATATCAAGCTTCAACATATACGTGCAAGACGGATAATGTATTCTATATTCGCTATGAGAAGTTACGTATTTTCCGATTTTTCGTTCCATTTCACTTTTCACTCGAGAGAGTTCGTTCCTCGGGAGATTATTTATGATAGATCGTGACAAAGAGATTCTCCAAAGATTTACTTCAAATACGTACAAAAAATATCACTCCACTGCTAAAAAAAAGTGATTACTTAGTTTATCTTATTTTTCTTTTTTCAAGTAATAGTTATCTTTAACGAAGAATATTTTCTTGATAATAGTCTTCAAATATACTCATCATAAATTTTACACAAACGTTTGTTATCATGTATTCGAAAGAAGAATTTATTCTCTTTGCAAGAATATTATAGGAACTTTGTCGACGAAAAAGTTTGCTCTATGCAGTAAGCAAGTCGAGTTTTTGCTTTAGCTTAATATTTTTGATTGAAATGTAAAATTTACTAGAGGTTTCGCTATGTATTTTGAATAAGTCTGACGCTTATGATGAACTTGTGATAAATTTGTGGACGTATATAAGTTTATAAAATACTTGAAACAAGTAACATTTATTTGTAGTATTTTTCAGTATATTTACTGGGATGAAGTGAGAGAAAAATCGTCAAGTAACACCTCGTCGAACGAACGGGGCCGAGCTTTCGAGGTGCACACCGGGCCCAAAAGTCGTTCGCAAAGAAACCTCGGCACGTGGCGAAACGTGTAAACAGTGTCCGTGTAACAGTGTCAGGGGCAGGGGGTGGCTGCGGAGAGAGGATTACGTTGCGGAGCCCCCGGGGTTGCGTCGAGGAGCATAAAAAAATAACTTCGACCCGTTAGTCCTGTGTGAACGAGCGATAGAGATCTCGATAGATAATCTAATGTCCCGTACTGTAATGACTAGAATTCTTCAAGACCGCCGATTTATTTGTCCCGAGAGGCGACTGACCGGGCTCCACGTAAAAATACGAGCCCTCTTACCCACTCTTACCGAGAAATCCTGGCAAACGCGAGGACCTTTTATACGCGAGGACTTCCTTCAAGCATGAGTTCTCTCTCTCTCTCTCTCTCTTTCTCTCTCTCTCTCTCTCTCGCCTGCGAAAAGTTCCTCCACGGTAAAAATCGTCAAAAAGTTTGTCAGGTCTTTTTGTACGCGAAGATCTTGTCTGTTGCTTTTCCCGTACTTTGTTCGCAGTTAATATCCTGCACGTATTTTCTCTCGCGTATAAGACCTTCGGCTAGGGTCCGGGTCCTCGCGTTTGTGTGTTCGCCGCTCCCAGGAAGATCCCGCAGACGGTGCAGGCAAGACCCCGGGATCGGCGAGAGTCGCCCCTCCTGTGCCCGTCTCTCTCTATCTCACTGTGACGTATACGTAACGCGGATCCTTAACGTATATCTCACTGAATTCGCCTCTTCGGCGCGCCTAAGGCGCGCGAACACGCGGTCCGCTAATGTTTAACACAATCGCCAATTGCGTGGAAACACACTTAGCGAAGATAAATACACGTTTACAGCGAAGCTAGACACATCAATTTCCGCGGGAACGCGTCTCTAAATGACTCCGGCGCTGGTAGAATTTTTCAGGTTGCTTTTGCATAGCGAATTGAAAGAAAACTTGGCGAGGCGCGCGTCTGCGCCTCGATCGCCGAATCAATCAATCGAGAAGCGCGACTATCCACTACTTTCCAGCGAGTCATAATACAGGTTGTACCCGAAATACGCACAGCAAGATCTCCAGCTCACCGCAAGAGCGACGAAGCTTCGAGTCGGGTACAGCCTGCACAGGAAGCACGGCGGGTGAAAAAGATCAGTTGATCTTCAACGAGGCCAAATAAGAAATTGCATCTGAATTGAATTATTTGGATTCACTTGGAGTCGTTACAAACAGAGCCATCCTCGTTGACTTTACCTTTGCTTCGCAAAAATTAGCCGTTTCTTTCCACCCTCGCTCTAGCTCCAATTTCTCTTCTATCTCGCGTAATTTCTGTGTACGATACGAATTCGGAATTTTTCAAATTTTTCTTTTCTCTTTTCATTCGATTTCCTGCATCTGATCTCCTTCACCCACCGCCATTATACTTGTTAGCTGTAACGAGCTTGCGAACCGCCGACGATTCTGTGGATCGCGAAGTGTCTAAATGCGTTACCAACGAAGATACATAATTATTCTTCCGCACGGTTATAATATATAAATATTTATAATAATAATGCTTTAAAATACCGCAGAGTAGAGAAATTCATTTTGCGTACCTTAGCCGGACTTAGACTCATTTGACTGAAATCAAAATACACCCAAGTACTCAAAAAGGCGACCACATCGTCACACTTTTCCCGTTAAATTAGTCCGTCCGCGTAACAACCGACGTCCTCTTGGATAAACGATATGTAAAATTATAAAAAAAAAAAAAAAAAAATGGAAGGAAGAAAGAACAAACGCTTCGAACTTTATTCGTTTGGGAGAAAGAGAATGAGGTGCAAGATATCAGCAACATCATTACGTTTGACATTGCGACATTGCGTTGACTACGAACTTACTCTTCTACCATCTCGAGCGATAAACACGTTTGTTCTCAGCAAACAATGCTGACTCGCGTGATGATTCCTCCGAATTGAAGATCAACTTTTCGAGGAGGGCGCATCCTCTGAAGATGAACGTGTTTCCTCGCACGTGTCGCGAAGAAGAAATCAGCAAGCAAGCAAAGAGGCGCATAGAGGAATCCTTCCTCTGCGAGAGATTTTTTATCCTTGAGATTTATATCCTTTTACGTCATTTTTTTCGGATCTTTTCAAGAACGCCGATCGCGGGCGACCGTCACCTTAACGCCGTATTCAGAACTCGAACACTATTCGCCTCTCCCGAAAAAGAAAATTATTTTTTCTGTTTGCCTTCAATCTGAAACTAAAGAATACAAGTCCACAGAAAGGATAAGCGATACGTCAAATCACCGGAACGTAGATCATTTCCCCCGTCAACGGGGCAAAATTCAATCGTTCACGACAAAATTATTCGAGCTCATGATGTGGAAAAGAAATCTGTAAGGTGACGAGTCGCCATTGTCGCGATCGATCTTCTAAAACAACAACCTCTCGCACAATAAACGCACCGCGAAGTACGCCTCCGCGGCAAGGTACAGCTAAAGCGACGTCGTTCGACGTTTCGGGCGTTCAATGATAGCGTTGCGATCGTCATTATACATCGTGTATCGCGGTTACGGTGGACGCTCTCTACGAGTCCAATTCGCTTTTCGGGCTGCGCTGCCTCGAGTGCATCGTTTTCGGCCAATGCATTTGGTGTTTCAGGCGCATGTGACGGCGCAGATCGGTTCTACGACTGAGAGTGGTGTGGCAGAGGATGCAGGTCGTCTGGTTGCGATGCACTTCGAGGTGCTGGGTCAGCGAAGCGAGGTGCCTGTAAACGTTTCCGCAGATTCGGCACGGAAAACGCCCCGGGCCCTGCATCAACGCCTGACCGGTTGTATCGCTTCCGTGCTTCCGATTGCGTCCCACCCCCCCTGCAACACATTAACACAGCCACGTGACCCGCCGGTTCCTCACAATTATCAACGGATTATAGTGGTCACAGGGTAGGAAGAAGCTGCGGGTGGACTCGGCTGGAGACGGGACTCAAAGGTGAAGGGTCGGGACACGGCGAGGGTGAAGGGGCACGATGGTGACACGTTAACACAGGCCATCCATTGCGAGGGGATCGTCAGTCGATTACCGAGCAAGAAAGACTCTGGCGTCGAGGCCTCGAGAACTTTAACCCTTTGTCCGGATGGCATAGCTTTGATACGAGCCACCACTGTCGCGGATACGAGAATTCAAGATGCGCGAAGAGAAAGAAACTTTCCCCGATCGAGACCCGACTAATCAATTTCGTCAGCGGAGCGGGGACAAAATGGAGATATACTTTCGATGCGCTGTTCGCGCCAAACTTATCGGCCTCGACAGAAAAAGAGATCGGATGAGATCGCTGAGCCGCGAGTAAAGGGTTAAAAAAGAAAACCACACTGTTCTGCCGCGGCTCGACGAGGAACGCGCATTCGTTCATTTCTGGTTCTGGGGCGATTCGTGTGGGGTCAACGTGCACTGTATTATACCGATGTGTTAGCAGGGCGCCGGGTAGGACGCCCCCGAAGAGCACGCGATCGACTGATGATCCTCCTCGAAGTATGTGTGTGTGTGTGTAAAGTCTACCCCCTTTGAGAGACCGGCACCCGGCCGAGGCTAATCTCAGGGGCCCGCTGTGCCGATCGAAATCTGAGCGTCCAATTCGTCTCTAATACACAGTACAACAGTTATCAGATCGTCATGCACGATATCTCGCTCATCTCGTTCAACCCTCATTCGGCTTTCACCCTTGCTGAAGAAGAAGCAGCGTTGGGCAGCGATCGCGATCGACCGATGAAGCGATCGTGAAAAGTTGCAGAAATCAAACTCTTTAATCACACTGAGAGAAAGGTTCATAATCCGACCAAACATTAACAAACCAATATACGAGGGCAGAATGAAAAGCGGTGCGAATTCGCGTGTTTAAAAAATGATGCTGATAAAACTTAGTATGTAAAGTTCCGCTTTGTCATATGTTGGTGTATCAGCATCGTTGGATTCAAGTGCATTCAATTAAAAAAGATTGTGTCGAAAAATAAAAATAAATTTCCATTGTAAAGGAAATTCTTTCATTTTCATTTTCAATCTTAACTTGATTGGAAACCTGACTGAATGGCTTCAAAGACGATCTGATATGTTGCTTGAGCGGAATATACGTTCGTTAATAGAGGATTTTTCTCTCAGTGCACGACTGATCGTCTGGGCTCTCGTTTTTCACGATCGTAGTCGCGATTGCAAAAATTGTCCGCTCTAATTTCCTTTTTCTTTTCTTTCTTTATCCGGTAATCGTTAACCCGACGATCACTCGTCGCACCCAACACTGCCCAAGACATACACAAGTCACAAGTGCAATCAATATTGCCCTAGGACGTATTGTACAGTTAGCATCCTGTTACGATACGATCGTAGACATACTGTAACAAATAGGATTATACATAGTTACATCGTGAGCACAACGAGCAGATCTCAACGTGATTGTCGTGCCGATGTTCATTATGATTGGCGGACAACGGCACCGCGACATAAGCGGCATATATATATGTGTACGTGGTTAGACTCGCTTGAAATTCACAGCACAGGTTGGCTAGATTATTATGTGAATCGTAGGTAGGTAGGTGGGTGGGTGGGTGGGTGAGTAGTCGGGGTGCAATTGCCGCACAACTCTCTCGGCCACTTAGCGCTGTGTCTCATCACGTGTTGTTCCCCGACACGTGTGTTGCGTGAAACGACGAAAGCGCAAAAGCGATCCCATTCACTCGGTCGTTGTCGTTGTCGTTGTCGTGGTCGTCGCCCGTTGTATTATTGCGCGCCGCGACGCGACGTACGTGCAGTTTGTGCTCCAAAATAAAGGAAAAAAAAATGAGAAAAAAACAGAGAACAAAGAACAAATCAACTTAGGACGAGGGGCAGGGGGTGGGGGCTGGGATACAAAGCAGTGTGAATCCAGAGTACACAAGAAAGAAATACATACGATACATGAGAGAAGCCGGAGAGACGTTTTTTTTCAGCGTGAAGGAAAGAGGAGAATGTCTCACTCAACGGTTGGAATTCACGTGTTTCTTTTCTTGTTTTTTCCTTTTTTTTCTTTCTTTGCAACTTTATTCACACATATGTCCACTTACATTATTAGCCTGCATAAGCCAAACATAGGAGAGATTACGTAATTGATATTTTATATTATATTATTTTATATTATTTTTATGTATACATATATATGTCTCATCTCTTTCTTCTTTTATAAATAACGAACTAAGGGAATATCAATTCGTTCCTATGGGACAATTAATTAGTAACGATCTTGTACTTATCTCTTATCAATTCGTGGCAAATCCGAGGAATGTGCACATTCGCTTTCTCTCTCTCTCTCTCTCTCTCTCTCTCTCTCTCTCTCTCTCTCTCTCGTAACAAAATAGTGTTGTAGTCTCGTATTGGTGTTACGCGTGGGCGCGTGCGTGTGTATGCAACATATTACACACAGCCGTGAACACCGTTACTTTCGACCAATTACACGTACACGCGCATCATATGTGTGTATGCGTATATATGTATAAATATATAAATAAAACGCGGGAGTAAATATATATATATATATTTTCTTTATTACATTTTTTTCGCGCGTGTGTGTATATATATTATATATGTATATAATATATATTTATCCTTTTTTCCTCGAAAAAGAGAAGAACTTAAAACAAGCGACACCACATAAGGTAACTTAGGTAAAAGAAAATTTGACGCAGAAGCAAATAAATTAACGTTAACAGCATCCGAACCGCGGCACACGCGCACGCGGCGTACCGTTCAGCAAAGTTTAAACTAACGTGAGGATTATGCAACCAGCGCGGTAAACCGGTTTAAGGCTACGTTAAACCGAATCTTTTTCGCGTCCCGCGAAATACATTTAACGACCAGTTCCTCTTTGCGCGATAAATTGAAATTTCCCTCCTACGGTTTGCGCTACGTTTCTCTAGCAAGTTAATTAGAACAGAGCGTTCTAGATTTACTGGGATTTACCGGGGGATACCTTTCAGCCGCGGGGATATTAAATGTAACTTTTAAAGAGGAATCCAATGCCGACGATGAAACTACCAACGATTTGACTTGGGACTAAATTCTTCGCAAATAAAACTCTCGCAAATAAATAAAATCTGCTTGATTAGTTTAATTCACAGCAAGTTCAACGAGCATCTCGCGCGAAACTTTATTCTCGACCACAACGAAACGTCAGACGATCGTTTTACGTTCTTTAACTTTCTTGAAAATAAAATCGAAAATAAAATTTATCCTAAACGCCCTCGACAGGATTCACGACTGAAAGGTGCGTTCGAGAATGTAAATCGACGTAACTCGACGTGAAGTTTCTCAGACAGATTTGGAGAAAAACGCGCCCGCCCCCCAATCGTCTCGTTACACTACAGCCTAAGCGAACGGATCATTTCTCCGACGAAGAATTATCTAACATATACGTCTACGAGTTGGAATAATTGAACTAGTTGTAATTGCACTAAGTTGCGTTCCCGTTCGCAAAGCAGCGTCGATCCGTCGCACTCGTCACAGCTACATTACGACTTTGGTACTTCGTTGGCGAACACCGTTCCCGAACGAAAGAGATCATATATTGCGGATGGGGTAATAATCGTTCAATAAAAACGAACAGTAGCCTCTCTTTCTCCCTACGCAAAAGGATCACTTGCAATGTCAGGCATTAACCGATGAGAATTTTCTTTGATTTTCTTTGATAACTAAAATAATCGGCAAATCCACTATCAAAATTCAATCAATCATCGTATAAAGAATCACAAATATCTTCATCGATCTACGAGACTATTAATCAACTATTAATCAAGTATAAACTTAAAACTTTGATGCGTGATTGATTGCACGTTGATTACACATGCAAGACGACTGATTCATTTCCGCTATCGACTTGCCGGTTATTTCAGTTCAAGAAAATTTTTCATCGAATAACGTCCAACACCGATTGCTTGTACTTATCGATAGTCACTTTCCGCGTCGTATGACTCGATTAAATCTGCCGTCGATTAAACCTAACACGCGCAGGATGTTGAAAAGTTGCATTTTTTCACACCCCAACGCTCGTACAGTACTGTCCATAAGTTCATAGATATATCAATACAATATAGACCCTTTAAAACTGTTATATATATTAGTTCTTATAGAGAGATGAACTATATAAATATATATATTATTATTATATTTTCCAAATAATTTTACGTAGTTTTCTTGTAATTCTTGTCCACACACATATTCGCGAACTTATGGACGGTAGTGTAATGTTCGAATAAATAAAATTGCTCGTCGTTATACGGACGTAGCTGTATGTACGTGTATTCTTATCAAATATATTCAGTATTTAAGAATTCAAAATAAAAATCACGTGCGTGACTATCGATGAGCTCCGAGACTCTATTTGAAGATGGGGCGAAGAGAGAATCCTCCCTAGCGCATGATCGTGTATTTGATACAGTCGCGAAGTCGGAGCTGATTAAAAAGAAAAAAAAAAAGGAAAAGAGAAACAAACAATAACGACAACAAAAATAAACAAAATAATAATAATAACACAATACGGCATACTACGGTAATTCCCTTAATGTTGCACTCCCGTCACGGGCTAAAACTAAATAAAGAAAAAAATTCAATATATATGCGCTATATATTATGTATTAGATATTATTAAATATATACTCTTTTGGCAAGTCTCTGAGCTTAAAAACTAGGGCACGTGTGAGTATGCGTAATATCATCAACGCAGATCGTGCCTCGCGATCTGCGATCGATTTAAAAAAAAAAGAGGAAAAAAACGAATCCCGCGGAACGTTAAAACGCGTCGGCGCATGGCAACTAAGAGAATTAACCTGTCTGAGACGCCGTCTGCAAAAGC